TTGATTATGTTGCTATCGCTCTGTGAAATGTCAGATGTAAGCAGAACAATTTACTTGCCAAAAAACATTTACTGCATAAAATGTTAGCTGGGAAGTCTGAGAAGGGGGAAAAAACCAAAACCCCATTTTCTGCTATTCAATTTAAAGGCAGACAGTCTTTTGATTTGTTCCCTTTTAGCTAAATCATTGTTTTTCTTCACTGTTTCACATACAAAGCAAACTGCATACCAAAACCACACACTTTATATGATTCAGAAGTTGGAAAGAAGTAGACATTATTGCTATTGATTTCAGTAACATGGAATCAGCAGGTTGCTTTCCTTTCATTTTGGCAAGATAATAATTCTTATAAATGCTATTTTAATACAGAAGTCTGTACACACTTTATGTTACAGTCCCACCATATGTTACATTAAATGCTAGAGTGAATTGAGTGAGTTTTAGAGAAAAGAGTCCTTATTGTGCCTCATTTTCTTTCAAATATGAATAAAGGAAACAATGATAATAGACATGAAGCTGCATCCACATACAATTCTACATCTCATTCCAAAAATTTATTTTGAAATTGTTCTGTCTTCTCTGTGGGATGGTCTTGCTAATGGTGTGTGATAAGCTAAATCAAATGTATATATAAACACATAACAGGATTGGAATAGCAGAATTCTTTGAACTGTCTGTAGAATAAATATTTACCTCACAAGCAAAATAAAATGTTCACTTTTCTATAAAAAGCAAGTCCAGTTATGTTTGAAACAAATTACGTGGAGAGTATAATAAATCCTGAATGCTTAGGTATATTTTTTCAGAAGAAAAATCCACATGACTTTTAAAGACATGGTTTATTAATGGAGAAACTGTTGCAGCCCATGGCTGGTGTACCTTTTTCAAGACAGAAGAGAGGTAAATTCAAGTATGTTTGAGTAAATGTCTCGAAGAGTAGTAGTATGTGACTCAGAATAGAAAATTACTGGGGAAAATGTACATAGCCTACCTTTCTCCTCCACTGCTGAAGTATCCAAATGAACACAGATTGTGTATCTATGGAAAGATATAATTATAGTTTTTTAAAACGTGTCATCCATCCTCTTTCATTCTACAGCTCATGCACATCCTCAACATACAGCAAAAATATGGAGCATAAAATTAGTAATATACTATCTGTCTCTAATACAGGGTGATGTTTAGAATGATTATGGGAACATCAAGGCCCTGGCACAAGTGAGCAGCACTTCAAGACTGCATTTAAGAGTAGCTTCTACTGAAGGCATATGAATCAAGTACCTTTCTGAACCAGGAAGAAATGCTAACGTTTTCAGGTTAAATTTTCAAAGATATTTAGCCACAATGCACATGCATGTGAAGCTGGCTTTCTAGACAGCGCTTTAAAAGTCTTCTGAGGAAAATGGTTTGCAACTGAGGACACAGAGTTGATTACATTTGCATGTGTGCTTTGCTGCCTCCCACTCACAAAAGGAGCTGCTGTGCACGCAATCCAGCACCCGGTTTCTACAGACCGCTGCGGTGTCTCTCCTACATGACCCGCTGTGTGCCTGTGCAGATTTGTCCTTGCTCCTGCACAGGATCCCTGAATGCATGGGTGCAAAGGCATCGCTGAGAGCCCCTCAAAAAAAGCAGGTACCAAAGACTCAGTCTGCAGCTGGGATAGCAAAATCTGCAGGCTGGGATTGCTACTGTGCTGGATGGTCTAGGGACTGTGTGAGTTTGAGGATTTGGCTCTGAATGGCTTTTGAGAGCAAGTCTGGGCTTGTACGCCGGTATTGCACTTAGGAAAACATCTCCCCAGAAGACAAAATGCTACTGGAAATCTGCAGGACTCAGGTGCAAAGTCCTGCAGGGTCTTTCACAAAGTGAGAAGCTTGAATCTACGCTGAGTCCTGGGGGCTTGCAGGGCACAGGGGCTGGCTGCTCGCTGCTAAGGCAAACCAGACTGTTGCCAAATACCTTAAAAGGGCCTGCCATGCCAGGGCCTCGCCCCTCCAGATGTTGAGGGGTGCATGCAAATCTTGCAGAAAGGTTTGCTCCGAGGGAAGGGTTCCTGCAAGGCTGCTGTGAAACATACTGTGTTGCATATTAGAATTGTTTCAGAGCAGCAGATAGATGTTACCTGGTTCTCTTTAAACTAATTGGTAAAAAAATTGACAACTACTTGATGGTGTATTTTTATGGTAATATCTTTTATGTAGAAGAAGCTAATGGCATCTCAGGATTTTAAAACAGAATTAGCTATTGCATATGTGAGAAGAATCAGCAGTGTTGTGCCTTACATTGCAAAGTGGAAAGTTTTCTCCTGGAAATGGGCTACTGTGTAAACCATGGTTTTGTAGCTACCAGCAGTAACAAATAACAAGTGCTTTCTAAGCAATACTGGAACTGGAGCATTCCTGTATTTCTAACTGAAAGCCTGTCTTTGTTTCCAGAGAATAAGGAATTCCGAGAAAAGGAGACAGGTCTTTCGAATGACATATGCTTTCCGCCTTCATCTTAGTACCTTGTTTTGAAAAACAGAATGATGAAACAGTGGGGTTTTTTCTGCTGTGGCAGTGACTCCTCCTGATCAAGAGAAGCATGCTGCAAATTGGAAACAAAAGTGAACTGAAATTCTGCGCATATTAAAAGCAAATGCATGAGAGGTATGGAAGTGAGTGTGGATGTTACAGTACCAAATGGAAAAACTATCACTTAAGGCAGTACTGTAATGGATGCTGCATTTCTCTCTCATGCACACCTCGCCCATCTAAAACTCTCCATCTCTGCATGCACCAGCACAGGGAAATGTACTAAAATGTGTGGCATGTTTCCCCCTGCTCTTGCAGACACAGCCCCTGCCCCCTGTCTTCCTCCAGCCCCCGTGGCCGGGGTCTGGGTCCAGCCTGCACCAGGGGACAGCAGGGGGGGCGGGCAGGTACAGCCATGCCTGACTGAGGGAGGGGAGGCCTGTGGAGCCAAGGCGGCTCCTGTGCCGCAGCTCCCCAGAGC